AAAAAAAAAAAAAAAAAAAAACCAAAATCTCATCAGGGAAAAGGTTTATTTCTTGTTTTTGGGATTCCTATTCCTACACACACACACACACACACACACACACACACACACAAATACACATACTGGCTCAGGGATTCCCTGCACTATTCCAATTCCAACTGGATTAGAGAAACAACTAGTGGAGAAGAAAGTCACTCAGAAGGCAGATATGGGCCCTAGCTGCTTGCCACTAAGCCGATGGACACTTCTAAGTGCTTGATAGGAGATGGGTTCCTGAGTTTGGGATCCCTGAGGCTGACAGAGATGAAGGGACTAGAGGGGAGAGGGGAGGGAGAAAGACACAGAGAAATGCCAGGAAAGAAGAAAAGGAGAGAGAAAGAAAAAGAGAAACTTTAGACCAGAAAAAGATAAAACCAGGACGAGCATCCAGGAGCCGCGCTGGCATGCTGAGCCGGCTTAGAGCCCTGGCCCTCATCTCCCTGGCTGTGGACTTTACACAAGGTTGCATAATCACACCAGCCAGGCACCATTCAAAGGTGGAAATGTGCCAGTGAGCCAGCCTATGGGGTTGTTGTTCTACTGCCACATGGAAATCCTCCCTGAGCTCAAAGCCTGCTGCTCTGGCAGCAGGGAAAGGCTGGCGGAGAACAGATTCATGCAGCCAGCCAAGGAGCGTACCTTCGTGAAGGTGACCAGTGGCAAAAGAGCTCTGGGAGAAGATGTTTGTGCCATCCCAACCCGGGGAGCTTCCAATACAGGGAAGTGCCAAATTGCTTTCCACACTGGAACAAGGCGCTGTGGCTTCAAAGTTCAAGGGTGTTTCACAGACAGGAAGAAAAAGCAGAAAAACAGTAACTCAACGGAAGGGGCCATTCTCGCAGGCAGAACCACTTGCTTTCTAATGCCAGGACTCCTGCTGATTTTTAAGTACCATATCATGCCTTCTTATTACTAAATACAATCATTATCATCCTCAAAAAAACGACATGACCCCTATCCACCTGCTTGCATGTTGTAGGTGAGACAGCTTGAGTGCTTCTAAGACGGATGGGCTCAGAGCTCCGATCTGTGCCACTGGAAGGGACCCTGGCTATTATCCCCAGATCAGTGGGTGGACCAACCATTTTTTTGCAGCAGGGAAGGGGGCCTTACAAAGTACTCAGCACCATGTAAGCTTTTGTCCATCCCTGTTTGACATGCACACAAAGAATTTCCTGGAAACATGGCTACTCTCCAAGGATTTCTCGGAGTAGAATGCCTCCTAGAATTCCAGAGTCCCTATCTTGTGGAACCTCGTTAGAAAGTAGACTTAAACTCTCAAACTTAATGTTTTTTTCGAAAGCCATTTTCTAATTGTGTGACTTTGGGAACTTGACTCATCTGCCTGAGCTTCAGTTTCTTTTCTGCAACGTGGGATGTGCATTAGCTTTTTATTTTCCTGTATAACAAAGTAATTCTCCACCTAAGTAGCCTAAAGTTACATTTAGTGACTTGTAGTTCCTGTGGACGTTAAATCTCACCCCAGATTAGCTGGGTTCTCTAGCTTTGGGTCCCTCACAAAGTTGCAGTACCCTCAAGCCTCCTTTGGGATAGATTTGCTTTTTAATGCACTCACATAGACATTGGCAGAACTCAATTCCTTATTGGCTGTAGACTAAGGCCTTAGTTCCACAGAGGCTATGGAGAGAAGGCCTTCTCAGAGCCTTGTCTAGTGGGCCTGTGCATGACATAACACAGCTGTTTTCTTCACCAGAGCAAGCAAGAAAGGGGGCCAGCCAAAGAAAGAATATTTTATAATCCAGAAGAAATGCCATCCCATCATTTTATCACATGCTCTTATTAGTAAGCCATTAGATCCAGCTTATACTCAATAGATACCAGCAGGAGGACCATCACTAGGCACTATTTTAGAAGGAACCTCTTTGGAATTGTAACAATATGATGCCTACCATTAGGGCTCATTTAAAAATTAACTGGGAGAATATGTTTAATTTAGGGCCAATATATTATATAATGTATAACTGGTATACGTAATTAATATTGCTATTAATGCTGTTATTGAATAATGGCTGTTTTACTCTTCTATCTACTAGAAGGAAAACTTACATGAGCAAATGAGATAACATGTGTATCTTGGGGCCTGACACATAGTAAGTGCTCAACAACCATTAGTTATTAATATATTAATACACTGTATTATTGTATGTTATCTGATTGCTTGGCCAAACTACAGGAAACCAACGTTGTGAACTCTGGTAACTTTTCAAGTTTTGTCTTATTTCCACTTATGTTGCCCATTTTTTATTTTTTAAATCATTTATTTACTTGTTTATTTAATTGGCACAGGGTCTCACTACACAGCTTGGACTTGTAGTGATCCTCCTGTCTCAGCCTCCCCAGCACTGGGATTACAGGTGTGTGCCACCACACCGTTTCGGTGGCCAGCTGGGTGCGGGGCCGGCATAGCATGCAGTGCTGGGGATTGAACCCGGGTCCTTGCGCTTGCCAGGCAGGCTCTTAGACTGCCATGCTATCTCCCTGCTGCTGGTCCATTTTTCTATGAGTACCCTGTACTTGCCAGAGCACAATTCCAGATCTAGGGTTTATAGAATATGAACGAAAAACCATGACCCAGTCTAATTTGCTGCCTGCCCTAAAACAAGAAGGGTCTGCCCCAACCTGTAAGGCAGGTTAACTAGAGCAGCACCTCCTATTTGCAGAAGAATGCAAGCCTGGCTTCATCCTTTCAAAAGAAGCTGGTCATTCCGTGGTCTAGGTCAGTCCTTGGCTGAGCAAGAGAGCAAGAGAAATACCACACAAGCTTTCACACAGGAGAAGGCGCCTAAGCGGCTTCCACCCGGGAGCTGGAAATAACAAGAACTTTGAGGTGAATAAAGAGCAACTTTATGATTAAAAAGTTGGAAAAAGCGAGTCAAGTTTGCAACATGATTGCTAAGAGGTTAGAGTTACCCAGCAAGGCGAGACCCAAGCTGGCTTTCTTAAAAGGGAGGAGGATATTGAGGACTGGCCTGTAGCCAGGGAAAATGAGCAACTATAATTAAGGAAAC